TTCAAAATCTGTAAAATATAAAATATCACATCACTAATTATCGGACCAGTTTACTGACATTAACACATGTCCCAATATCACATCACTGATTATCAGACCAGTTTACTGACATTAACACATGCCCAATATCACATCACTGATTATCGTGACCAGTTTACTGACATTAACACCTGCCCAATTTCACATCACTGATTATCAGACCAGTTTACTGACATTAACACATGCCCAATATCACATCACTGATTATCAGACCAGTTTACTGACATTAACACATGCCCAATATCACATCACTGATTATCAGACCAGTTCACTGACATTAACACATGCCCAATATCACATCACTGATTATCAGACCAGTTTACTGACATTAACACATGCCCAATATCACATCACTGATTATCAGACCAGTTCACTGACATTAACACCTGCCCAGTATCAGGTCACTGATTATCAAACCAGTTTACTGACATTAACACCCGCCCAATTTCACATCACTGATTATCAGACCAGTTTACTGACATTAACACCCGCCCAATTTCACATCACTGATGATCAGACCAGTTGACTGACATTAACACATGCCCAATATCACATCACTGATTATCAGACCAGTTCAGACATTAACACCTGCCCAAAATCACATCACTGATTATCAGACCAGTTCACTGCCATTAACACCTGCCCAATATCACATCACTGATGATCAGTTCACTGACATTAACACATGCCCAATATCACATCACTGATTATCAGACCAGTTCACTGACATTAACACCCGCCCAATTTCACATCACTGATTATCAGACCAGTTCACTGACATTAACACCCGCCCAATTTCACATCACTGATTATCAGACCAGTTCACTGACATTAACACCTGCCCAATATCACATCACTGATGATCAGACCAGTTTACTGACATTACACCTGCCCAATTTCATATCACTGATTATCAGACCAGTTCACTGACATTAACACATGCCCAATATCACATCACCGATTATCAGACCAGTTCACTGACATTAACACCTCAACAATATCACATCACTGATGATCAGACCAGTTCACTGACATTAACACATGCCCAATATCACATCATTGATTATCAGACCAGTTCACTGACATTAACACATGCCCAATATCACATCACTGATTATCAGACCAGTTCACTGACATTAACACCCGCCCAATATCACATCACTGATTATCAGACCAGTTCAATAACATTAACACCTGCCCAATATCACATCACTGATTATCAGACCAGTTTACTGACATTAACCCCTACCCAATATCACATCAATGATTATCAGACCAGTACACTGACATTAACACCTGCCCAATATCACATCAATGATTATCAGACCAGTTTACTGACATTAACACCTGCCCAATTTCACATCAATGATTATCAGACCAGTTCACTGACATTAACACCTGCCCAATATCACATCATTGATTATCAGACCAGTTCACTGACATCAACACCTGCCCAATATCACATCAATGATTATCAGACCAGTTTACTGACATTAACACCTACCCAATTTCACATCACTGATTATCAGACCAGTTTACTGACATTAACACATCACTGTTATCAACCAGTTCACTGACATAACACTGCCGATGTCACATCATGATTATCAGACCAGTTCAATGACATTAACACTTGCCCAATTTCACATCACTGATTATCAGACCAGTTCACTGACATTAACACCTGCCCAATATCACATCACAGATTATCAGACCAGTTCACTGACATTAACACCTGCCCAATTTCACATCACTGATTATCAGACCAGTTCACTGACATTAACACCTGCCCAATTTCACATCACTGATTATCAGACCAGTTCACTGACATTAACACATCACTGGTTATCAAACCAGTTCACTGACATTAGTACATGCCCAATTTCACATCACTGATTATCGGACCAGTTTACTGACATTAACACATGCCCAATATCACATCACTGATTATCAGACCAGTTTACTGACATTAACACACGCCCAATATCACATCACTGATTATCGGACCAGTTTACTGACATTAACACCTACCCAATATCACATCACTGATTATCAGACCAGTTCACTGACATTAACATTTGCCCAATATCACATCACTGATTATCAGACCAGTTTACTGACATTAACACCTGCCCAATATCACATCACTTATTATCAGACCAGTTTAATGACATTAACACCCGCCCAATTTCATATCACTGATTATCAGCCCAGTTCACTGACAGTAACACACGCCCAATTTCACATCACTGATTATCAGACCACTTCACTGACATTAACACAAGCCCAATATCACATCACTGATTATCAGACCAGCTCACTGACATTAACACCCGCCCAATATCACATCACTGATTATCAGACCAGTTTACTGACATTAACACATGCCCAATTTCACATCACTGATAATCGACCAGTTCACTGACATTAACACCTGCCCAATTTCACATCACTGATTATCAGACCAGTTCACTGACATTAACACCTGCCCAGTATCACATCACTGATGATCAGACTAGTTCACTGACAGTAAAACATGCCCAATATCACATCACTGATTATCAGACCAGTTCACTGACATTAACACCTGCCCAATATCACATCACTGATTATCAGACCAGTTCACTGACATTAACACATGCCCAATATCATATCACTGATTATCAGACCAGTTTACTGACATTAACACCCGCCCAATTTCACATCACTGATTATCAGACCAGTTCACTGACATTAACACATGCCCAATATCATATCACTGATTATCAGACCAGTTTACTGACATTAACACCCGCCCAATTTCACATCACTGATTATCAGACCACTTCACTGACATTAACACATCACGGGTTATCAAACCAGTTCACTGACATTAACACCTGCCCGATATCACATCACTGATTATCAGACCAGTTTACTGACATTAACACCTGCCCAATTTCACATCACTGATTATCAGACCAGTTCACTGACATTAACACCTGCCCAATATCACATCACTGATTATCAGACCAGTTCACTGACATTAACACCTGCCCAATATCACATCACTGATTATCAGACCAGTTCACTGACATTAACACACGCCCAATATCACATCACTGATTATCGGACCAGTTCACTGACATTAACACATGCCCAATATCACATCACTGATTATCAGACCAGTTTACTGACATTAACACATGCCCAATATCACATCACTGATTATCAGACCAGTTTAGTGACATTAAAACATGCCCAATATCACATCACTGATTATCAGACCAGTTCACTGACATTAACACCTGCCCAATATCACATCACTGATTATCAGACCAGTTTACTGACATTAACACCTGCTTAATTTCACATCACTGATTATCAGACCAGTTCATTGACATTAACACCTGCCCAATATCACATCACTGATTATCAGACCAGTTCACTGACATTAACACCTGCCCAATATCACATCACTGATGATCAGACCAGTTCACGGACAGTAAAACATGCCCAATATCACATCACTGATTATCAGACCAGTTTACTGACATTAACACCTACCCAATATCACATCACTGATCATCAGATTAGTTCACTGACATTAACACCTGCCCAATATCACATCACTGATTATCAGACCAGTTTACTGACATTAACACCCGCCCAATTTCACATCACTGATTACCAGACCAGTTCACTGACATTAACACCTGCCCAATATCACATCACTGATTATCAGACCAGTTCACTGACTTCAACACCTGCCCAATATCACATCACTGATTATCAGACCAGTTTACTGACATTAACACCTACCCAATTTCACATCACTGATTATCAGACCAGTTCACTGACATTAACACCTGCCCAATATCAGTTCACTGATTATCAGACCAGTTTACTGACATTAACACCTGCCCAATATCACATCACTGATTATCAGACCAGTTCACTGACATTAACACATGCCCAATATCACATCACTGATTATCAGACCAGTTTACTGACATTAACACCTACCCAATATCACATCACTGATTACAGATCAGTTCACTGACATTATCACCTGCCCAATATCACATCACTGATTATCAGACCAGTTTACTGACATTAACACCTACCCAATTTCACATCACTGATTATCGGACCAGTTCACTGACATTAACACATGCCCAATATCACATCACATCACATCACTGATTATCAGACCAGTTCACTGACATTAACATCTGCCCAATATCACATCACTGATTATCAGACCAGTTTACTGACATTAACACCTGCCCAATATCATATCACTGATTATCAGACCAGTTTACTGACATTAACACCTGCCCAATATCACATCACTGATTATCAGACCAGTTCACTGACATTAACACCTGCCCAATATCACATCACTGATTATCAGACCAGTTCACTGACATTAACACCTGCCCAATATCACATCACTGATTATCAGACCAGTTCACTGACATTAACACATGCCCAATATCACATCACTGATTATCAGACCAGTTCACTGACATTAACACACGCCCAATATCACATCACTGATTATCAGACCAGTTCACTGACATTAACACACGCCCAATATCACATCACTGATTATCAGACCAGTTCACTGACATTAACACCTGCCCAATATCACATCACTGATGATCAGACCAGTTCACTGACATTAACACCTGCCCAATATCACATCACTGATTATCAGACCAGTTCACTGACATTAACACCTGCCCAATATCACATCACTGATTATCAGACCAGTTCACTGACATTAACACACGCCCAATATCACATCACTGATTATCAGACCAGTTCACTGACATTAACACATGCCCATTATCACATCACTGATTATCAAACCAGTTCACTGACATTAACACCTGCCCAATATCACATCACTGATTATCAGACCAGTTCACTGACATTAACACACGCCCAATATCACATCACATCAGTTGTGCGTTACATTTCTGTGCATGGATGCCACTGGGTGCAGGCTCCAGCTTTGGCTGTCCTCGCAATGAACTGTGAGTGTCTACAATATGTTGACTTGACAAGCTGCTGGGAACTTGATGATGAAACTATCTTGGTATTAATAATATCTCATCCTGGACTGAAATATCTTTCTTTAGCAAAAATATATGGCATAACAAATGTTGTAATCGACATGCTGGCAAGAACTTGTTCTGCTTTTGAACATCTTAATATTCAGGGTTGTTGGAGGATTACAAATTCAGTCATACGGTAAGTTTTATTTTAAGCTTTATTCACAAATAGAGGCACTGTGCTTTATTATTCCCCATTCAGGTGCAGCCTGGAAAAGGGACTACTAATTCGGGTTTTTAATTTACCGTCTTCAAAATTGTTTCAGAAATTCTGCAGCAGATATCAATGAAAGCAGGTTGATGAACAATAATCTTTTGACCATGCAACAATTTTTTTTCCAGATCTGAAAATCCTAAGTGGATATTTTTCATGATTTTCATCAAAAATTACCTCTCCCAGCAACATTGACAGAACAACTGCGCATACTCAGAATAAATTAATTACTGCAAAATACTTTATTTTCGCTGAAGGAATGATTTAGTTAAAATAGAATCCAGAGAGTATACCTTTTTAGTTCCCGTTCGGACGCAGTCCGAAAACGGGGACTTATGTTTTGACCTCCGTGTGTGCGTGCGTCCGGACCTGTATCTTAGAAATGCCTTGACCAATCACAATCAAACTTTACACATACACCATACATGATATTATACATATGCACATCAATTTGTTTCACGATCTGATTCAAGATGGCCGAATAACGGCCATTTTTGTGCTAAAATCATCAAAATCAAGCATTTCTCGGCTGTTTACTGATGGGTTTTGTTCAAACTTGGTATATACATTAGACATTATGGGACCTTGATGCAAATAATTTTGTTTTTCAGATAAGATTCAAAATGGCCGACTGGCGGCCATTTTGTATTAATGAATGTGGTTCTCGTGCCATATCTCTGACTTGGTTTCACTGATTATGTTCAAATTTTAAATATTCATTATACATCATGTCATAGATAGACAGATATATTGGTTTGACGATCCTATTTAAAATGACCAAATGGTGGCCTTTTTTGTGCTAAACAATCATCAAATATCAAGCATTTCTGGCATTTATGGATGGATTTCGTTCAAACTTGGTACATATATCAGACATTACAGGTTCCTGATGCACATCATTTATTTTTCAGATCGGATTCAAAATGGCTGTCTGGCGGCCATTTTGTTTTAATGATTGGGCTTCTAGAGCCATATCTCTTGAATGCTTTGACTGATTATATTCAAATTTTATATATTCGTTATACATCATGTTATATATATACATGTATTCAAAATGGCTGATTTTGAATGCTGTTCCAGAGCAATTTCTCTCAATATGGACAAGTACTTGTTTGACGATCAGATACAAATTTCAATCATTTTAATGTTAAAAAAATCATATTCCTGACATGGTTATATTCCTGCTATATTACTATAAACAAAACTATATATTTTAAATTTGATAACTAACGGGGACTGTGCCATGCATGGCTTGTTTCCTATATTTTACTTTCAACTCGTCTTAAATCAATCAAAATAAATTCCATACAAAACACCCAAAAAGTCTTTTCAGTGAATATAAATTCCAGCTAAAATAAAGTATTTTGCCTTAGATTAGATCTGTAAGTTATTATATTACTGTTTATATTTTGTTCGGCTCAGTGGTTTCCTTCACTAGTTAGTAGAAGAAGTAGTAGCCATATTTGATTGCAGGAACTTCAAGAAGGCAGCATAACAGACGTGTTTGCAAAGGTAGGTTCTCCATTTTCAGTGAAATTGAATGTATTGGGGGTGAGATTGGTGTACATCCCGTGACATACCGATGTGTAATAATAATAATAATAATCTTTATTGATAAATGTAACCTTAATTCAGATATTGTTCGTGATACAATAAAGTTAAATGTTGAACATTAGAGAACAAAAACACAAAACAAAGCAAAAACATTTTTTTTTATTAGATTTAATGTAGTTTTCTCTCATTAAGAAGCCTTGGTATACAAATTTGGCTAAATTAATTAACATGTTTTTGTCTTTTGTTTTAAGTATATTTACTAGTTTTTCTTGCTTGTTTTGATTGGTCGGTGTTGCAAAACATTTGTTTAGGCTGTCTTGTCTTAATGCATCATAGTGTGATCACGTTAGGAGGAAATGTTTTTCATCCTCAATCTCTCCATTCTGGCAAATTTGACATTTTCTATCTTGTAAGGCGTGGTTTGTGTATCTGCCTTTCTCAATTTGTGGAGTATGTGCACTTATCCTTAATTTTGTCAATGCTGACCTATGGAATGGATTTTTGACTATTTCAAGATAACTTTCTCTTTAATGCATCTGTAAGTGCGTAGTTTGTTTCTATGGTTGCCTCCCTTTTTGTCATCGAATAGAAAGTTATCACAGTGACTTTGAAATGTCTGTTTTATGTTCTCCTTGACTGTGGTAATAAGTTTGTTAATAGTTTTAGGAGTGTGGTTTTTCCAGATGTCATCCTTGTTTACCAAATTTAAAGTTTGTTTGATGCTTGACACCCAGTTTGGTGTGCCAGCTTTGTCTAGAGTGATACCTAGTCTATATGCCTCATTTAGAAGAGTGTATTCTGGCTTCTGTGATATTTTTATCCAATATTTTACCATCTGAATTGTACTAGTAACAGTGAGAGGGTAGCGACCCAACTCCATCAGGCATGCTATGTTAGATGATTTGCAATTTACTTTTAAGAGAAATTTAATGTGTATTTTTTCTGCTGGGTTATTGTTGTTGAAAATATTTTGTTTTGATTTAATATTGTTGCTTGACCAGATCTCAGTGCAGTACAGTAAAACTGGTTTTATAATAGTCACACAAACAGTTACCCTGTCTGTATGTGTGCCTGTCCATTCCACTGATATCTCAAGAACCGTATGTTGGTTTTTAATGAAACTTGGTGTATACAATGTAGATGCTCTGGGCTAATGTGCATATTTGATTAGGTTTTGGTTGAAAATTTTCAGCTGTTCCTTTACTGTTCCACTGATATCTAAAGAGCCATTCATTAGTTTTGATAAAACTTGGTACATAGATGCTCTGGACTAATGTACAGATGTGATTAGTTTTGGGTAAAAATCCATGCATATAATTAACCTTATTTGCATAATGATTAGTCAATTTTTGTCTTTTCCACTGATATCTTAAGTACTAATCATCACATTTCAATGAAACTTACATAGATACATAGGACGATAAACATATGTGAAATATTAATTACCTAATGTTCAGCTTTTGATATTTCAAGCACTATTACCGGTACTTCATTACTTTTCAATGAAACTTGGTACATAGATGCTCTAGAACAATCCAAAGACCTGATTAATTTTAAGTAAAATTGTGTGCATATTAAACAACTATAATTAGTTAATTTTTGGCTTTTACACTGACTAATTATCTAATTATCCCATTTCAATGAATCTTGGTAAATAGATTTTCTAGGACAATGCACAGACCTGATTAGTTTTAGGTTAAAATTAGTGCATATTAATTATCTAATTTGCATAATTAGCCAATTTTCATCTTTTACACTTATATCACATGTACTAATTATTCCATTTCAATGAAACTTGGTACATTGATGCTCCAGAACAATGCACAGACCCACTCAGTTTTGAATTATAATCAGATCATATTAATTACCTAATTTGCACAATAAATCATAATATTTGGTTATAATCAAATTTCAATGAAACTTCGTACATAGATGGTCTGTGACAGTACTTATCTTAACAATGAATCTTGGTACGTATGTACACTAACACAATGTGATGATCTAATTAGTTTTAGATTTGTATACATCTATAATAATTATCTAATTTGCATAATAATTTACTTTTCGCTTTCCACTAATTTAGGTAGGATTAATCATCACATTATAATGAAACTTTGTACATGTGCACCCTGAGACAATATGCAACCTAAATCTATGCATAATAATTGCTTAATTTGTATAATAATTAATTTGGTTCATTGAGGTAATCCACAGACATGATTAGTTTAATGTTGATAAACATGCATATTGATTATCTATTATTAGTCCATCTAAAAAAATCAGATTTAAATTGAATTCATCGCAGAGGTGCTCTAGAATAAATTAGACTAAAAACCATGAATGAAAAATCAAATGTATTTTCTGTATGTATAATAAATTTTGATAATGTGAATCACATTTTTTTCATGTTATGCATCTCAAATAGACAAAAATTAGTTGCCAAGCTTCTCGTTTGAAAAGCAAATCTTAAATTTTGAATTAATTTTAATGTGTCTCCAATACTCACAGCACACGGGAGTTCTTTCTAAGCTTTCTTTGATTAGATATGTTTTGACAGGGATATAAATGTCACTGTGTAAAAGTTGTTTTATTTTAAAACATGCTTTCAAAGCCCTATTTGCTAAATCATCTTGTGCTGTATGGAGCTTGCCTGAACTACTTAATTTGACTCCCAGGTAAGAATAATTAGAAACTGTTTCATGTTCAACATTATTAATATGAAATTTATGCTTGGTGAGTTTTTCCTGTTATATTGAATATAATAACTTTGGTTATATTGATATGTTGATGATATGTTGCCATTTTTCACAATAAATACCTAAAGTTTAAAGCATTTTGAAGACCTGTGTTTGATTTAGATAACAGAAGTAGATCATCTGGCAGGGAAGATGACTATTTAGTAAAGAAGGAGAATCAGTGTTTGAATTTTCTAAATATTCTTCAATATCGTTGACATATATTAAATAGTAATGGACTTGTTGGACGCCTCTTTGGAATGGGAATGCTTCTGTTAAGCCATTTTTTAATTTTAATTTTATACAACTCGATGAGCTACTAGTAGTGCAGATTGATTGGATGATTTTGTGAAATTTTCCTGAAATACAATTTTTTAAGAGTTTGTACAAAAGACCTTGACGCCAAATTGAATCAAATGCCGTTTCGAAATCTATTAAGCAGGCGTAAATGTATTTATTTTGACTAGTGTGTTTTAATACAAATATATGATCGCTTGTACTAAACTATTAGGGTTGTCCAAACCCGTTTCTGTACCTAATCATACCTACCAGAAAGTCCATGAAAATAATAAATTCCATTTATTACTCGTTAGGCTTAACTACAGATTAACTACAGGCCTCTCCTAAGGGGTCACT